AAAAAAAAAAAAAAAAAAATTAGCTGGGTGTGGTGGTACACAGCTGTGGTCCCAGCTACTCAGGAGGCTGAGGCAGGAGAATCGATTGAGTCTAGGAGGTCAGACTGCAGTGAGCTGCAATCACACAATTACACTCCAGCCTGGGCGACAGAGTGAGACTCTGTCTCAAAAAAATAAAAACAAGGCCAGGCACGGTGGCTCAAGCCTGTAATTCCAGCACTTTGGGAGGCCGAGATGAGTGGATCACGAAGTCAGGAGATTGAGACCATCTTGGCTAACACAGTGAAACCCCGTCTCTACTAAAAAATACAAAAAACTAGCCGGGCGAGGTGGTGGGCGCCTGTAGTCCCAGCTGCTTGGGAGGCTGAGGCAGGAGAATGATGTAAACCCAGGAGGCGGAGCTTGCAGTGAGCCGAGATCAGGCCACTGCACTCCAGACTGGGCAACAGAGTGAGACTCCGTCTCAAAAAAAAATAATAATAAAATAAATAAATAAATAAAAACAAAAAATTCACATACAAGGTTTTATGGGGACATGTTTTCATTTCTCTTAGGTATATGCTTGGAGCAGAAGTGCTGAGTAATATGGCAACTGTTACATTCTGGTAACTGTTAGGTTCAACCTTTTGAGACCTGCCTACCTGTCTGCCCCAGGGCCTTTGCACCTCCTAATTCCTTCTCTGCTTGCCACACCCACACTCTGCTTCGTAAGTCATAATTAGGATGAATCAGCCTATTATCCTCTCATTGAATTACACTGCATTCTGATACAGGACTTAGCTCTGTGATTTTGAGACAGGGTCTCACTTTGTCACCCAGGCTGGAGTGCAGTGGTGCAATCTAGACTCACTGAGGCCTCAACCTCCCGGGCTCAAGCCCCCTACACCTCAACCCCTGCAAGTAGCTGGGAATACAGGAGTGTGACACCACGCCCAGCACATTTTTGTATTTTTAGTAGAGAGGGGGTTTCGCCATGTTGGCCAGGCTGGTCTCGAACTCCTGTGCTCAAGTGATCCGCTGGCCTCAGCATCCCAAAGTGCTAGGATTACAGGCATGAGCCACTGCGCCCGGCCTCTCTGTAATTTTATATTAGTGAGGTTGTTTGCTGAATGTCTTTACTCCTCACTCAAATGAGGTCATATGGCTGGGCCCTAATGCAGGGCAGGACTTTGTCTCCTTCACCACTGACTATATTCCCAGAGCAAGGCCTGGCACACTGTGGCCCCTCAATAAATATGTCAAATATCGGTGAATGGGGAAGAAGGGGAGGAAAGACGGCTTCGCCAGGAAATTCAGAGCAACTACACGGCCTGATTCCTGAGAGCCCAACGGGTCAGAGGGGGCGCTCTGGGGGTCAGAAGGCAAATACCCCGCTGAGGGCTCCATGCCCCAGGCTCAGCAGAGGCAGCGGGGCTATGGGAGCAGGCCCTGGGACAGGTGGCTGGGCAAGGCCACCTGGTCTCCCCACAGGAGTGCTCCTAAGCCTGGGAAAGGGAGAGCTGGCTGGGGTCTTCTATCATCTCAGGGAGGCCTGGGTTGATGCTGAGCTGCAGATAGAAGGAAGCTGGGCCCACAGGGAAGGTGTGAAGAGCACATTCTCCCCACTTCAGGGTCCAGACACTGCACATTGAGGCTCTGGCAAGAAGGAATGGAGGAAGGGCAGCCTGCATCTACACCCCAACAGAGTCGGGGACCACAGCCTTCCTCTTTCCTGGGGAACTCAAATGACCTCAAAACTTGAAAACTTGATAGGATCAAGCTGTCCTTTCCCTGAGGCAGCTCTTTGTTCATCTGACTTCAGTGATGGGAATATGCCCATAATTGCTTGTTCTAGGTAGCAGAGTACCTTATGTTTCCTTGAAACATTTCATTTCTTCTTTTTTTTTTTGAGATGGAGTTTTTCACTCTTGTCACCCAGGCTGGAGTGCTGTGG